TTAATTATAGCATAATAATTACATGCAAGTATTCAGCATTACTTACCATAATAATAGTATATTAATATGGAATTTTAAATGAAGCAAAATTCATAATAAAATAGAGTAATAGTAAATAATCCTGTCCTTCATTTTCTAAAACAGTGATTTACATGTGATTAATCAATTCAAAATTTTTTTATTATTAAAACAAAAATTAAAGATTTTTGGGTGGAAATAAATTGAAATGTTCACTATTTCTTTTTAAAAATAAAATTTGATTGACCAAATCTGGAGATAATTGAGTACGTTTTGCAGAAATATGGTTGCCAGCATCTGAAAACAACCTCTCGCTAGGTACAGAGGTTGCAGGAATTGATAAATATTTTTGAGCAAGTTGAGATAGAATTGGAAAATTGCCTTTATTTGCATCCCACCATTTTAAAGGATCCTCCATAATATCAATCTGCCGAAGTTTCACATAACTCAATACTTCATCATCATCATTCTCAACTTCAAATGAACTTAGATCAATTTCCAAGGTTTCAAAAAAATCATCATTGTCATCTTCATTAGTTGTATGTAAATTGTGAATAGTTGTTGTTTGTTGAATATTATTAGATTCAAAATCCACTTTTGTAAAATCATATAATTCCCATAATAATTGATGTGATTTGTCTCTTTCCTCACCACTTCTATCCCATTGGAAATTTTTGAATCGGGGATCAAGTACTGTTGCAATTTGAACTAATTCTGTTGGAACTGACCATAATTCATCTAATGATAAAAAAATAGCTGCTTGAACTTTTTGAAGAAGGCCAGTAGTATTAACAGCTGGTAAATATTCAACATGATTAATATCATCTATGTCATCTATTGCACCTCTAGTTCCTATACCATGACCTCTTCCTCTTCCCTTCCCCCTTCCCCTCCCCCTTCCTCTCCCTCTAGTAATTTGCATCCTTTGTTGAAATTGACGATGGGAATATTGCCAATGTTGTCGTGAACCACCAGATGGGATTTCATCATCATCACTGGTTGAACTGTCAGATTCTTCTTCATTGTCATTATTATCTTCAGTTTGTGGCCCATAAATGAGATCAAGGTATGTATCAAGACTTTCTCCATTTTCAGACTTAGGTGCAAATGTCTTTTTCAACAATTCCATATAAGGGTTAACAAGACTTAAAGTAACATATTTAGCTCCACAAAATCGGCGAGTTACTTTTTCAAATGGTGATAAAAGGTTTACCATATCTTGAATAAATCTTTTCAAAAAAAAATAATATATATTAAATGATAGCACTATATAAAACTATAAATTATTTTTTTAAACTTACTGTTTTTCATCAAGAGATAAACATAGTCGTTCTAATTTCTCTCCTTCTTTCTGTGATGCTCGATCTGGTTTTGTCAACAATGTGGTAGAAATGAGTCGCATTGAATTGTGTAATTCTAATATTCTCTTCCATGCATAGTATGTCGAATTCCATCTTGTTTTAACATCAGTTAAAACATCAAGAGGGTTACTATAATCATTTTCCTCCAGTAATTGCTGATTGCTTTGTTGGGCTTCCCGAAGTCTCTGAGCTTGTTTTGGTAAACGAAAAAATGCCTGTAAACACTTTACTCGACGATGTATTGATTTACACTGCTTCAGACCTTGTAGAACTGAAAGTTGTAATGTGTGAGCAGCACAAGGTTGCCGTTTTATTTGTGATAAGTATTTCTCACCTAATAGTCGAACACCCTTTATCATATTAGAACCATTATCAGTTGCAATGGTAAATGCTGTGTTTGATAAATGCCACTCATTTATAATTTGAAATAATGCAGCACTGATAGTCTCTCCTGAGTGTGGATATGGAATGTGATTACAGGACAAAAGTGCCTCATAGAATTCAAAATTAGATGTTAACCATGTGGCTATTACACCAAGATATACATGACGAGACCTTGCAGTCCATAAATCAGTAGTCAAATGAACAGCAATAACATTATTATTATTTAAAAGTGAACAAAGTTGTTCCTTACAGCATACAAATGAATCATTGATTATTGCTTTTACTGTTTTGTCACATGGAATTCTATAACCCGGCTCACAGATAAGGAGTAATTCACGAAAGTATTGATTTTGTAAAATATATAGTGGTTGAATGAATTTGATGATAAAGGTTACAAGCTTTTGTGTAATAAGTTCCTGTCATTTTGGTGAGCATGGAGCTGCTGCTTTTAAATATCCTATAATTTGAGTTTGATCACGTCGGGGCTATTAAATATTAATTAAACTCTATTTTAGAAGGATAAAAAGAATGAGGATATGGATAAACACCTGCAGCAGAAAGCAATTACCTGATTAGAATTATCTAAAAACTGAAAATAATTTTCTTTTGTGATTTTGTGTTTATCACGCAAATGGACAATAAGATTTGTTGTGTTTCCACCTTTTCGGCTGTATGCATAAGGTTTTTGACGTGCACCAGCTAAATTAATTTCACATATTTTGCAATAGGTGATGGAAGTATTAATTGGATCAGTGTGAAAAAAATAGGATGTATGGCTTTGATTGTTTCGGGATTTGGTGGTGCTTTGATTGTTGTGGGAATTAATGATATTAATACTATTTCGTTTTTTTCTATTTAAACTGTTAGAACTGTTGGTTGTAACTGTTTCTGTTTCAGAAATGATTTCAATTGAAGAAGTAGGTTCATATTCAAAAGGAGGAGGAGATAAGGGAATGTCTTCTATGTCATCCATTATTTTTTTTTTTTTTCAAAGAGAAAAAAAATTTTTCTTATAAATAACTTTATTCACAAGTGCAACAATTAATATACAAATATTTACATTATCACGAGTACATTAATGTACAAATAAAGAAATAACTCTAAACATTATTGCAGAACAAATTAGTTTATATTACTAATTATGTTAAAATAAAATTATTTGTACAAAATTATTTTTAAATAATGAAAGACAGCTTGTCTGTTTGTAAGAGTGTTCAATTTGTTTTGACAAGTGACTCTTTACAATTTGGTAGCAGTGAATGTTTTATACATATGTACATATGCACATTCACATTTACATATTGCGAAATAGTGATTTAAGGATCACAGGGAATTTGGAAAAGTTATCTCTGGCAATGAATTCATACTAATCCCGTGTATAATTAATTTTCTTTTATTTATATTTACCACTATTTTTTTTTATTTCTTTAGTGAGTAAATTTCAACAATCAGAATTATCAGATGATTCTACAGATTTTGAAGAAATTTATGAAACCAGTAATATATGTGAAGCAGCAATTCTACTAAAACTTTGCATAAAAAAACGATTAAAATTAACTTTTTTGTTTTAATTAAACCTAAATAAAATTGAATTTATTTTTGTCATCTTTTATCATACTTTCGACTTTACCCTTTGTCACTTTTCATCACGTTTCATCACTTTTCGTCACGTTTCATCACGTTTTGTCACATTTTGTCACATTTTGTCACTTTCATCACGTTTCGTCATATGTGCCCCATTTGATGAAATACTTTTTACACTCCAAAATATTTTCGTCACTCAACCTTGATATACATACACTTTAGTTATTGTTTTTGTTTGAAAATGGTGACAGAGAATTGATAAATGCTTTATATTTAGTACAGTCTCTTTACATAAAGTTTAATAATAAAACCGGTTCAACCGGTTTTATTAAATTCGGTTGCCCGAAATAAACCGGTTTTATTATATTCGGTTTATCAAATACGAAAAATAGGAACCAGTTTTACGTTGCAACCAGTTGCAACCGGTTTTAATTCGATTGTACCCAAACCGGTTCCAACCTCTAGTTCAGAAACCATTCTCTCAAAAAATGATCTGGATCTTCATTATGATTGATCGCCCATTTTCGGAGATGTTTTTCTCGCTGTTCCTGGGTCAAGTATTCAGAAGATGATGGGATTGGTTTTGACATATCTTCTTCATTATTAGATTCGGATTTATCGCTTTCAGGTAATTTAGTCATGTTAGCTCCGTTATTTTCTGGTGAAGTGGGATATTTCCAATTTATCGCTAACAGGGGAAGGGATTTCAATAATCTCAGAAGAATTTATAACCTTGGGAGTAATAATCTTGGAATTTCTAGGCGTTGAAGCGACTAAATCTTCTGGTTGAGTCGGTATTGCTTTTTCCGGTTTGTTTTCTTCTTTCTTCATTTCAGGAACGTTAAATACTGGGATTTCTTCCATAGAACTTTTGGTAGGCAAGCTATCCTGTGAAATATTGGAAAATTCTTCAATCTCACCAATAGATTCACATAACTTAGCTACTATTTTGGAACGATCTAGGATGTATTGACGTACTATTATTCCATTTATTCGTACTTGTTTGTTTTCGATGTTAATCTTTGTAAATTTTTTACCTAATACATTATTACTAAATGGTTTCTCACCATTAGCTTCACACCATGCCTGATACTCTTGATATAATATCATACGACTTTGTATCTCAACTCGATCCTCAGACCATGGTGAAATATGATCAATTATAAATTGAGTAGGGTTGGGTAATTGGTCTTGCATCATTTCCATCTTCATTTTAGTCTTAGGAATATTGTGCTGAGGATTCCAATCATCCGAAAGATCAAGACTGAGTAAATACAACATAAAAGAGCCTGGTGTGTCAGTATGTCTAAGTATTTTAGAAAGTTGTTTAAAATATTCATTATTGCCTTTACATTGAGGGGATACATCTAAAGCAATGATACGCCCATCTCCAATTTCAACCCAAAGTGGAGTATCATGATTACTTAAAACCATGAATCCAGGAAAATGCTTATATTCTTTAGACTCTAACCCTTTATGTTCAATCAAAATATATTCTTCTGTAATAAGAGATTTTAAGTGATCATTTGCCTTATGCCACTCTCCACTGGCCATTCCCATTTCATTCATAATAATAAGTTTTCGTCCTTGAATAGGACTATTAAATCACCCAAGAATTTTTCCAAGATCAGACGTTGAATATACAAGTTCTTGACCAAATACATATTTTCGAATAAAATCAGTAATAATATTCTTTCCACATCGTGGAGGAGATTGTAAAACAAGAATAGTTCCAGGGATTTTTGAACTAGAAATGCAAACCATTTGAAAATGTACTCTGAAAGAATTTTATCTCCATTACACCAAATATTTTCTATGTGCCAAATTATTGGATTAATTAGATCGAAATTAATTTCAGTTGCTGGTTGAGCTTTAAATCCTAAGAAAAGATTAAAGAAATTCGTTTTTGGCAGGATTACATTTGGAGGGAATGGGAGAAAATAGACTTTGCCATAATGTATTAAATTCTCAGTAACCGCTTGATTTATCAAGGTAATTAATTTTACTTCTTCTCCTCCATGCTCAATTATATTGATTTTATAATCTGCAAGATCTAATTTAGAACCCATATCAAAGAAAAGTCCTCCATCTGAATTAATATGTTTAAGAATCCATGTTCTCATTTTCATTTGGACACATGCTATTGTTGCTTGGATTGCACTATATACCTCATCATGCGTAAACTTTTTCTTAGACATACACATACAAAGTAAGTCACCCCATACAAAATGATCATTTGGATCTGAAATTCTGGATTGTTCTATTTTTTTGGGGTTGGAAGAGTTTTTTCTTGATTTTCAAACACATCAGGAAAATAAATCTTATGTAAACCTACATAGGGTTCAGAATTGGCCAGCATTATGTCGATATTTTGGTAATTCTGTTAACATTTCTGCATAATGCTGGTCAGTTTTAAACCCTGCGTAGGTTTACATGAGATTTATTTTCCTGGTGTGTTTCATCTTTAGTAAAACTAAAGGCACAGCTAATTACAAGTTTTAATGATGGTTTTTTTATACCTGAATGAGTTTCTAGATCTGCACAGTGACAATGGAAGCGATAAGTTTTTTTATTTCGAACCACATATGCATTATCACCACTATGTTCTCATTTACATAACAGACAATTAGAAGCTGATTTGCATCTTAAGGTGAATATATTTGGATGTGTGGACCCTGGATATAAAACTTCAAAACCATCAATATTTTATAAAGCGAGTAGATTTTTTACGTATTCTAATTCAGCTTCAAAACTTCCGGAATTGTTTTCAAAACTTTTTATTGTCTTTTCTTCAGGAACATTTAGCGAAGCTAACATGGCTAAAATCGGACTATCTACAATTGGCGATTCAACATGAGGAGGACGAAGCATAAAATTAAAAACATATTCATCTTTTGGATATAGAGCTTTCTTTACTCGACATGCTCATTAGTTTCTTCAATGAATTTTGGCATTCAAACAATCTGTAAAGAAAATGATTTTTTATTTGCTATGTTATCAACAATATTCTTGCTTTGTAAAGCTACCAGGAGTTTCTTATGAACCAACTCAGTAAATTTGGCAACTTTGGAAATATTTTTGAGTCAGAGACCGAAAGTCGAAATATGTAGCAATATTTTTTTCGAATCGCTACTACTAGCAATAGTCAGAGTGGTTTTATCCCAATCTGGATATATCTCTAGACAGACTTCTTTAAAGGCACCACAAAGTAAGTTTTGTATCTCTTTTCCTGTAAGTTTCGGTTTGATTTTATCAAATATTTCTTGAGGCAAATCAAATCAATAAAAGGACGGAGTGGATCATCTCCATCAATATACTCATGTAATGAGTGTCCTTTATGATCTTTGAGTATAGATTCTATTCCATCTTTGGTATCTGTGCCAAGGAAATCTCTTGGTCTTACACTATCGTCACAAATTTTATACAAATATTCTTTAACGCACTCGGCATTGTGTCCATGGTAAAAAAAATGACGAATTGGTGTTATTGTCCTTGAAGGAGGATTCAAAAACGGAATTTTGCAGTTGAGAATTTTGGGTAGTCATTTTAGCCGTGCTAGCTTTCACTATTTTGCTAATATATTATTCAAGATAAAAAACTTCAAAATGAAAATTAAATCCGAAATATAATAATCAATACATACTATATAGTTGATCAGACATTATAAAAATATGGCATTTTATTGTTGTTCATACATACTTAGGACTGGAGAAGTTTGCAATCGGGGTTGCTATAGGACTGAGGGGTGTCAAATACACTGGGACTCTCCTATACGCATTCCTTGCAAAGAATGTGGTAAGTTGACCTTTTCCAAATATAGTACCTGTGATATCCATGCTAGAAAACATCGAAAAATGGAGCAATACTACCGGAAAAAGCTTGAAAAACTAACTCAAGATGGAATTGAGGTAAAAGATCCCAAGTAGACTTCCAAAGCCTGAAAGTGAGTCTTATTGATTACTGTCACAAGTGTCACAAGTTGTCACAAGAAAAAAAAATTGGCTAGAAATACTATTTTTGAAGTTCCAAGCCCGAAAGTGAGTCTTATTGATTACTGTCACAAGCGTCACAAGTTATTTTCACGTACTCCACTTTTTATTTTTTATTTTTTTTTTGCATTTTCTACTTTTTATTATAGGTATATCATATATAGTATATATCAAAGTTGGTTTCATTTTATTTTCTTTCTAATAAATTACCCATTTTTACTTGTGACACTTGTGACAGTAATCAATAAAGAAATGAAAGAGTAAGAAAGGTGTCACAAGTTCTGTCACAAGCTGATTTTTTTACTTGTGACACTTGTGACAAGAAAAAAACACCATTAACACCTTTCCTGGAGTGGTACTTATGGGTGACCATCAACATATGTTGACAATGGATATGGATGCTACATGGTGGAGTCAGATTTTTATCTACACTTTTAGTGACTGTTATTGATGTCCATAATGATGGACTTTTGGTGACGCTGTTGATTTCAATGCTAGATAAATTTTTTATTACACTATTTTTTACTACCCGATCAATGTGGCTAGAAATTGAAAATTGGCCACGTTCGAAATTGCGAATTGAGACACATCCTGCCTTCAAGATTGCTTTTCCTAAAGTGCTACATAAATGCAGCCAAAAATGCAAAATACACCTCACTCGAATGAGGCTGAAAATGACTCTTAATCAACCCACAATTGAATGACAACATACAAGTGAATGCAATGTCAGTATGCATATGAATACTATTTTTTTACGTGGCCAGAAACAAAAAATTGGCCACA